ACTCACCCAGGTCACACACACGCCCAGAGGGCAGCAGAGAGGGGCTTTTAACCCCCGTGATCCAGCTCTAGAGTCCACACTCTTAACTACCGCACGATACTACAGTCAGAGGGGAGCCAGTACAGAGAGGTCCTTATGTCCCATTATAAGCAGCCTGGACTTGACCCTCTAGTTGCACTAAAGGATTTTAAGCAGGTGAGTGGACTGATCAGATTGCGGAGGACAAACACAAAATGTTTATAGAGTGGAGGGTGGCATGAGCGTGGGTAGCTGCAGGGACTCCTGACTCCACTTCCCACAACATACACACACTCACACACACACCCCTCCCTCCTGGGCCTGCCACACAAACCAGGATACCCAAAAGGGAAGCTTTCGGGAAAGGGATCCAAGACCAAGGAAGAAATAGCAATTCTTGGCAGACTATGTCACAGTAGACCTGGGTTACAACCACAGCTCCCACCTTAGCAGCTTTGTGACCCTAAACAAATTTATTTAATTTCTGTAAGTTTCCGTTCCTCTACAGAAGTGGAGAGCAGAATGTTAATCCCCATTTCAAAACTCTTGGGGGTCAGACGTGTTTTCAGAATTCGGATTTCTGGGTTACAGAACAGCAACATGTTGCACGTACCATATGTTATGTAACACACCCATCAAGGTCTGATGCTGTCCTCTATAATCAGATTCAGTGATCCTTCTGCAGCAAAACATATGAATGTTCACACTAAAAGGGAGAAATCAAAACTAAATAGCCTCACATAAGTTCTAGTTAGGTTTGCCTGTCAAAAGATTTCAGGTCAGGTTCATTTTATATTCAAATGAATTATGAAAAACTTGAGGCTTTTCAAAGCTTTTTGGATTTCAGAATTATGGAAGAAGGATTGTGCCCTTCTTATACTACTGCTTCTTTTACAGTAGTAAGAATTAAGGGAGATAATACATGTAAAGCATTTAGAACCCGCTATTCCACCTGAATGATAATAAATGCGACCCAGTATCCCCATTACACAGCCCAAGTCCCTCAACTTTCAAAGAGTTCCCAAACCTGGACCCATTTTCACTCCCCTTTGACCCTGAGTTCTAAATTGTTACCATCTATGAGCCCAAGATCAACCATAATGCGCTCTTCACCATTTTCCTTGGGAATCCTAGCAAGTCATTGTGCCAACAGGCCCTCATGAAGTCCGAGTTGGTAAGGTGGGTGCTACAGAGCAGCCCACCCCACCTGCCTCGATGCCAGGCCTGTCTGTCTGCAGGACCCTCCTGGGAGCCATGGAGCTGGGACAAGTCACCCTGTAGGGGGCCCTCCCTGCATCCATGATGTTTTTGAAGGCAAGATATTATTAAAAACCAGCAAAAGTGATCATGAAGAGTAAAATGTGGGAAAGCAACACCATGAGAATCACGTAAAACCTCAGCCAAGCAATAGCCAAGAAGGAAACGTTTACCGACTGCTCACCATGGACTAGGCATAGTGCCACTAGGACACCTGCTCAGCACTGCGGACAGCACGCGGCTTCTGCCTCCTCTTCTCCAACCCTCCATTCTATTCCCCTCTTGCCTCTCCGAGAGTGTTGCCAAAATCATCACCACCATCACCATCATCTTTCCATGAACACAGTACTTTAAAACTTACTTAGGACTCTCACACACATCACCCGCTTTCTGCCTCGTAGCCACATGAGGTCGTTATTATTAAACCAATTTCACAGGTGAGAAAACTGGGTCTCTGGGCAGTCTGGCAGCTGGGACCTATGTCTGTGTCCTTCCCTCCTCCCGGGCACTGCCTCCCCAGCCCGCCAGACTTCCCACAGCAGACAGTTTCCAGCTCCCACAGAGGCCCTGGAGACAAAAGCAGCAAGCAATATAGAGGACACCTCTCACACCATGACCAAGCCACCGGCACCATTTCCTGTGTGTGGCGGGGCCAACTCGGTAAGCCTCCCCAGACTGGCCACCAGGCCCGGGATGTGCAATGGTAACAGGCCACCTGTCAGCAGAGACAAGGAGAGAGGCTGAGTGCTGACATTTCCAACTTCATTACCAAGAACAGTGGTTCCCCCACCCTGATTGAGCATCAGACTTACCCTGGAAGATTTTGTGAAATACACATTTCCAGGCCCCATCCCCAGGGATGCCAAGAGCGTTGATTTGAGGCGAAGCCTGGGATGTGTTCTTCGTTACGCACCCCAGACGCTGCTGCTACAAAGGCAGCCTTGGGAACCACTGACCTAGAAAAATCAGGAAACGCAAATTACAGACAAATCACTTTAACACATTGACTGCCACACTAGGAAAAAAAATATTTTTTTCTTTGGGGCCATGGTGTTTTATCATGAAAATAGAATAAAAACTTCAAAAACAAAATGATGCTTTCTAATTTAATGAAAAGTTGTTATTTCCTATTGTTTTCTATGCATGAGTTATATGCAACTTGAAAAATGGTTCAGCCAGGCGAGGTGGCTCATGCCTGTAATCCTAGCACTCTGGGAGGCTAAGGCGGGAGGATCACTTGAGGCCAGGAGTTCAAGATCCTGTCTCTAAAAAGAAAGAAAGAAAGAAAGAAAGAAAGAAAAATTGTTCTTGCGGCTCCCAAGGTGAAGAGAAGTGCGAGTTACATATGCTTCACAAGATCCTGGACTCAAAACTAGCGTGAGTTAAATACAACTCACATGGCAGTTAATGTGTTAGAGATACCAAATTCTAATTTCTGGCCATTTAAAATTTTGTGGCCACACTGGGGACAGAAAGAAAATGACCTTGGAATATTCATGCAAAGAGCTATAATAAATATTCACTTTGCATAACCTTTGTACAAATGAGTCTTGGTGAGGGAAGCGTAAAATTATACAACGTAAAGCCTAAAATTAGGTGGGATGACAAATGAACATTGGACATCTCGAAAATGCTCTCAGGCAGCTTTGTGTGAAGGCTTGTTGCTCATTCCTCACCTCTCTCTCATTTCCCCACTGCCCGCCCCAAGTAGAAGCTTCTTTCAGTTGCAGGAAGACACTTCAGAAATCAAATGGAAACCAAAAAATTACTTCTCCGGTTAGCATCTGTTTGGCAATATGTTTACCGCCTCAATTCAGCCCTGAGCAGCCGCCAGGAAAGCTAAAAAGAGGGCAAGAGCTCTATTCATCTAATTACGTCAGCAGAAGAAAAACATGTTAATTAACTGACCTTAATAATTCATATATATCTGAACCAAGGGATCATTAGACTTGCACGCAAGGCCTGGCATCTGAATAAAGGATCATCGCAATGATCTCATGGACAGCCTCATTTTGGAGAGCTGATCTATTTTTGTTTTCTCAAGAACAAATTTCCCACCTCCAAAATGATTGAAGAACCTGTCTGCAAATTACAGGTTTGCTATAATACCTTGATTCCTCTAATTTCCTCAGCCCCTCCGGGGGATGTGGAAATATTTTTAGAATCACAACAGCCTAACACATTAATTGGATTTCATTATGCCGGCTGCTGATTGGAACATTATACAGTAGAGGGGAACAGGACCGCGTGTGTCCTCCACAGACTTCCAAATCAGAAAGGGGAGGGACAATGAAGCACGCTTTTCTGGGAAGTTAATAGAATCATTCAAGTCACAGTTTCTTATCAAACATGCTACTGCATAGAAACTAGCAAGGAAGTGGCTCAACAGCTTTTGCAGTCAGTCTAAGGAAGGGAAAGAATGCTGACAATTTTATGCTCAAAGATACCAGGACCCTAAGCAGGTATACCGTTTACATTCGCCTTCCTGGGGTCTTGGCAGGAGGCGGTGGACACCAATTATAAGTCCACATATAAGAAAGGGGAAATTAATCACAATGCACTTGCAATAAAGACAAAGTCATTTTCCAAAAGCATTTATGAAACAATTGCACAGGCATTGTAGATGGAGGCCATGCATCCGTTTCCCAGAGGACAAACAAAAATGACAACGAGTGGCAGGAGGTTCTCCAGTGGGTCAGCAAGACATGGCAGTGATGACAAAGATGCAGCTGCCGTGGCCATCGGGCCAGAACACCTGCCCCTGGCAACAACTCCAGCCCGGCGGGCCAAGGCTGTCACTGCAGCGTGTGCGCCACAGCTGAGCCCCAGAGCCAGCAGCAGAGCCAGGGCCACGTCCGCCCCTCAGCAAAGGGGCACTTGCCGGAGGCCCAGTCGCAGGTGGGAGTAGGCTAAGAACGCTGCCAACACCGGTCCCCTGTCCGCAGGTTCCTGGGTGTTACAGGTTGAATTGTGTACTCATGCACCCCCAATTCATGTGTTGAAATTGTGATACACACTTTTTATCATGACAGTTGAAATTATTTACTTGCACGTCTGATTCACACACATCACAATGCTCCTCAAATCCTTCTTTCCCTATTGCCGCTTCACTAAGTCACTCCTGGCTTTCAAATCCTTCACGAGCCCCTGTCCCTGCGCCTGCCCCTCTCCCTGCATCTCCATCCATCTCCACCCACACCTTCAGTCTGGAGAAGACGCCTTTTCCTCCTTGCCCTTTCTGTGTGCTGTGCCCTCCTCCAGCTCCAAATCCCCCTGCTCTCCAGCTGCTCTGCCTGGAGCAGCCTCCCGCGGGGGGCCCTCCCCTCCTTTTCTCAAGCCCCCTCTCGTCCTACCGGCTCCTCAAAAAAACCCATCTGCGTCCAATTATAGTGAATGGAACTCGGAGGCAGGTTCCCACTCCCACCGAAACATCAACTACCTTCTAACCCCAACCCACCCACAGATGATAAAAATAAGTCTTTAAAAAAAGAATGAGTCACATTAATCCAACCTCTCCTCATGGCACCACAGGGAGCTCTGTCTCCTCGCCCTGCACAGAAACATGGCACGTGCATGACAGGGGCGGTCTCCGTGAATGACAGTTCAGGAGCTGCCGGGGAGGTGGCCCAGGCCTTTCCTGCCCTGCACTGGTGTCTACTAGACACCCCCAGGGAAATGCAGAGCACCCACTAATTCACTTGCAAACCCACAAAGGGGAAGCCAAGCCCCTCGGGCAGCCCCTTTCTGCCCCCACCACGCCAGTCACCAGCAGTCAGCCTTCTGGGATTTTCCTCCCATCTATTTTGGAAGCAGCATCCAAAATACAGGTTGAGTCAAGTACAACGGTGCACAAGTTTGTGGTGAGAAGCTCTTCTACTCTTTACCAACATTTTGTTATCAACAAGTACACAGTAGACAGTTCTTAAATTTTTGCCTGCCAGCAAATTTTGAGGAATTATTCCTTCCTTGTTGCATCTGAGTCTCATGATGCAATTAAGCAAAACCACACACGGGAACAAAAATTGACCCAGATGGGGCTAATCTTAGTTCCTCCCCCTGGCAACAGTGACTAGGAAGAGACACATGACCTGAGGTGGCCCAATGGACATAGACATGTTGACATGTAGACATAAAGCGAGAGAAGTGCCTTTTCCCACTGGGGTTGCTAACCAGGAAGGATGTTTCTGTGGGACTTTAATTAACTATTTTCCTCGCCACATTGCAAGCTGCCTGCCGGAAGAGGACAACCCACAGAGGGAAAATGCAGGTGAGAGACTGGCAGAGGCCCATGCAAAGCCACAGCAGCATCCAAACCCCCAGATCCAGCCAAGTTAAAGCCACACCCACCCCGCCCCCAGCTTCCCAGTTGCAGGCGTCCTTTTATATTTAATCCACTTACAACCAGAAGGGATATTTAGCTCATTTGCACCTACATGGCAATATCTGTGGTTTTATGGTCAGCATCTGTTCTGACTGTTACTGGTTAATGTTTTGATTATCACCAGGGCTTTCAGCAAGAGTCCTGACCCATCAGAGTGGGTGGCTGGCAGTGCTACCTAGCTGTGGGGTGGCAGCCTCATTAAAATCTCTTCCTCCCCCACTCCCACCTCAACAGGGAATGAGACAAGGCCTGGAAGCCCTCTTCCCATCCCTGACCTGTGAAGAGGAGAGCTGCAGGGCCAAATTCAGTTCTTTATTCCTTCTATCCTGACATAGCTTTCTGGCTAGAGGCTCCCTGCAAGAAAGGATGCAAAACCACACAGATATGTGCCATAAGGAAGAGGTTGGAGGACTGACTTGGAATAGCCAAGTTGAGGAGGATGAAAAATGTTCAAAGAAAGAGCGGGTACTCTCCCTGGGAAGATGGCATTGCCCACTTGAGAACAAGTGCACTCTTCCCTTTCTAGGAGGGCTGAGATAAGAGTGGGAGATTTCTGAGCAACCCACGTGCTATGGACTGAATTGTGTTCCCCCTAAAATTCTATTTGTTGAGGCTCCACCCCCCCCCAGTGAGATGGGATTTGAAAATGGGGCCTTTGGGAGGTAATTAGATTGAGCTGAGGTCACGAGTGTGGGGCCTCCTGATGGGATTAGTGCCCTTATTAGAAGGGACACCAGAGAGTACCCTTCTCCCCATTTCCATCTCTGTGAGGACGCAGTGAGAAGGTGGCCATCTATTAATATATGTCATGAAGAGGGCCCACACCATAACTCACTTATGCTGCCATCTGGATCTTGAACTTCTAGCCTCCATAACTGTGAAAAAGTAAGTCCCTATTATTTAAGCCACTCAGTCTATGGTATTTTGTAATGCTAGCCGAAGCTGACAAGCCATCGTGAAACCAAGAACTCGGCTGAGTATACAGAGATACTGAAAGCAATGGAGCAACCCAAAATGTTGAGAAGACGAACCAAGATGGCGGCTCAGCCCTGCAGGGGAGAACGAGGTACCCTCAGAGAATTTTGTTGAGTGACCCCAGGTTGCACCAGCTTTTGTCTATAAATGTTGTCCTATTAATACTAAACCCAGTGTTTGCTGACTCTATGGCATCTTCCTGATCAGGCAGGAATTTCAGCCCCACAAAGACCCTCTACAACCCCTCAGGAGTCTCCAAAATGCCATCTCACACGGTCTCACAGATCTGTCAGAGCTGTCCCTAGACCCTGCCTCTGCCGCCCCACCTTCCCTGTGGCCCCCGCATGACTCTATGTCTACATCCTGCTGACTTTACTCCTCCAGGGCCTGGGCCTCTCAGAGGCTGTTTGCATAAAGGTTATGGGACAGGAGTGGCCTCTCTCTGGGTTATGCTCAGTTGCTGACCCTCGTCAGTCCCAGTGTTACAGGCGTTGGGCCTTGATTAGGGCCTCTTTAACCCCCACAAAACCCTGAATTTTCCCTAACACAAAACTCTGAATCTTAGGAAGAAGGGGTGGGTGTCCATCCCACCATTCTTATGCAGATCCATCCATCTCCTTCCCAGATTTTAAACAGCAAGGGAGAGTCTGGCTCTTCCAAGTCAGACAAAAGGTCCCCTCTACACCTTGCCTGGAACAAGGGCTCGCTGCCTTGTAGTAACACACTAAGAGGAGCCACTCCACTGACTCCTCAATCAAAGATCTGGTCCCATGTGACTCTACTCACTAAGAACACAGCTGTCAATTTCTCTCAAAAGTGAATGGAAAAAAAAGGGCTCATGAAAAGCACCCTATTGAGGCACCTTGCTATACAAGGAGAGGGAAATAGATGCAGGAGGGGGAGGTTCTTCCCCACCAGCCAAAGCTGCGTCTCTGTTCCAGTCCAGCCTTGTGACACAAATGCACAGTTACTGACTTGACTCTGTTATGCTGAAACCTATTCATGAAATTTCCATTCAGGCACTTCTGGGAGAGGAGTTGAGGGAAGAAGGAGACACCTGGCCCAGCACAGAGCATGGGTGTCAACAGTGGCCAGTTCCTAATAGGTGCATATGACACAGAGACTGAGTAGTGTAACATGGGGGAAAACAGCCAGTCCTGGGGAGTGGGTGTGGCCAAGCTGCTGGTCAAGATTAACAGGAAAGTTCCTTATCACTTGCTTGATTGTTGGGTACTCCTCCTGCACAGGGTCCTCCCCTGCTCTTACAGCTCTGCCAACCCTGTGAGAAACTCCAAGAAACAGGACATTTAGGGGACTCACCCTCCTTGGCACTTAGCCAGCCCTGCCTGTAAGGAAGGTAGACACTCAACAATGGGAGTGATTTGCCATCACTCATGAGAATTAAAGACTCTGCGTATTTTCCACCAGGCCTTAGCAAGAGAGGGGAACAGAAGGTCCCTTGTCTCATGCTTCAGCCCATCATGCCACCTGCCTGGGAGCTCCCGCATGTTTGTCTTTCTGGCTCCAGGAACATCTGCTCAGGGCTTTGCAGAATCCCATTTATATCCCTGTCTTTGGGCTCTTACTTAATTTACGGTTTTGCTGCCATCATCAGGAAGGCTATGGGAGCAAGCAATAGACAAGAGGGCCCAGGGTCTTAGAAATTTCACTTGGTAGAGAGAAACACAGAACGCAGAATCATACCCAGGAGAGGCATCGTAGCTTTGTTAATTCCAAAAGCATCTTTACAAAAATAAATTAAAGACAAATTTAGGCTGGAGTTAAGTAAGGGATATTACAAACAGAACATTTTATGGGTCTGCTAGGAAAATGAACGTTTGGAAGTTACTGAGAGAAGCCAGTCTGAGATCTCTATTCTGCAAGTGCAGATAAAGACTGAATTGTCTGGCAGATACCACTGAGATGGAAGAGATTATAAACTGAAATGGAGGCAAAAATACCCTGGGTGAAATAAACCTTAATGATGTTATTGGTTTTATTGATTAGAAAATAATTCACATTGATGTGGTAAGTAAAACTTTCTTACAGGGTGAAGAAATGGCCCCGACAGGGATGCAGGCTTGTCACCTATGAAGAGTGATTCCCCAGAAGTGCCTGGAGGTGGGCAGTGGGCTTTTCAGAGGTCGTTTTCCTGTTCTGAGATTCACCAGGCCTTGTAAGTGGTGGATCCTGAGGCCCTAGAAACTCATCCGCCCTCTCTCTTCAGGGCCTTGCTTGGCTCGGGCTGCCCTTCCCACTGCTGCCATGCTGAGCTCAGCTAGCATTCTTGGCTGGTGGAGCATCACCTCAAACTCAAAAGCTGAATTAATGAACATCCTCCTTTCTTCCTGTTCTCATCTTCCAACTCTGGTCTATGTCTTGGTGTTGTTTCTGGTAATAGCACCTCTGTTTTCTCAATCACTCAGACTTGAAGCCACTAAGTTTACATTTTACTTTTTCTTCATTAACCTTAGCCCTAAACCTAAACCCACTGCGTAGTGAAGAATTAACCTTGCCCAAGGGCTTCAAGATGGCTGAGTAGGGGCATCCAGCACTCACCTCCTCCACAAAGAAGAGCCAAAATAGCAAGTACACAGTCGCTCTGCAAATAGAACAGCTGAGAGAGAACACTGGAATTCAATAGAGAAGTGACAGGAAATACCCGAGGCACAAAAGGAGAGGGAAGCTAGGCAGCCAGCTTGGCTGGGATCTGCTGGGAGCCCAGAGAGGCTCCCCAGGGAAGGGAAAGAGTAAATAGGAGATCCCTAGTGGTCCACATTCCCACTGGGCACTCCAGCAATCCTAGCTGTGGGAGAGGCCTCGCAGGCCTCAAGAATAGCAAAGGGAGCTGTCTAGAGACCATGTAACAGCATTGCTCCAGAGAGAGAGAACACATGGGGTGCCACACACACTCTGAGTCTTAAGCAGCTGCAGCACAGAGTCCAGCTCCCACCCGACTGCATCCTGCTCTGCGGCTCAACAGCCCTTGCATCTCCACATCCCTAGGGCCCCACTGACATCCCCCTGGGTCCACCCAAGGGCTGCAGTGGCTTTCCGCAGGTTGGACCCAGTGGAGCAGCAGGGTTCCCAGCACTCTAGCACACACTGGGGAAGAGGTGATGCAGTGCACTAGGACAAAGGGAGCCAAAGCACTCGCTAATCTGGAACCTGCCTGCTCAGAGCCACTGCCCCTGACAGCAACCCCACCCCCACCAGCAACAGACTGCAGTGCACTTGCATATACCATGAAAAAAGGCTCTCCCTACCTGCAGCTACCACTGCTGCTGCCACTGGGGGCCAAAGTGTGCACCCCTGGCAGTGATGCCCTCTAGCAGTAGGGCCACCACACCCTTGCACAAACCTCAAGGACTGGCTCTCATCACTGCTACTGCTGCTGCCAGGAGCCAAACCATGGTCTCTCCTGAGCCTGAGATCCATCTGCCTACAGTTGCAACACCCACCCACCCACCCCAGCAGCAGGGCTGCAGCACACTTGCACGCACCCTCAGGATGGGCTCTCCCTCACACTCACCACTGCTGCTACCAGCAATACCTGAGCACTCCACGGAGGGGCCTAGGGATCACCCCACCCTGTCCACCACAGCCTGCACCTATGCACAACACCAGAGAGCCTAAGAACAGGCCCGCTCAGCCCAGCTCCCCTCCCCTGAGTGGCTGAACACACTACCCAGGGGCCTGGGTATTGCCCCACCTCACCCTCCACCACTGGCGTCTGTGCACTCCTCCTGGGGGCCAGAGAATGGGCCCACCAATCCCTTGCAGCCACCACTAACATAAGCATGCGCTGGCGGAGAGCCCGCAGGTTGTCCCACCACCACTACGGCCATCACCATACAACACACACTGCTGAGGGGCCTAAAGACTCCACAACCTGCCCTGCCCACCACTGCCACTGCTGACACCCAAGAAAACTGCCTAGTTTGGGTGTTTTGGACTGGTTGGGCACACTAACTCCAGTGCCTGAGAATGCTGCCCAGGAGCTCAAAGATAGGCATGCTCAGCCTGCTGCCGCCATCACTTGGGCTCAAGGACTGGCCAACCTGGTGTCCTATCCCCAGCAAAACCTCACCATAGTGTCCACTAACAACCACAGCCTAAGAGACTGAAGAAACCACAGACACTGCTGACATCATTTATAGCTATAGAAATCATACAGAGGCTATACTACTATATCTACCCATAAGCTAAAATTTCCTATCCAACCAACACTATAGATACATCATCAAAGAAAAGCTAATCCAAAAAATTTTAAGAAGCAACTTTTATACCAGAGGTGTGGATATCAACATAAGGACATAAGAAACATGAAAAAGCAAGAATATATGATACCAAAGGAGCATAATAATTCTCCAGTAGCAGATTCTAATGAAAAAGAAATTTATGAAATTCCAGAAAAAATTCCAAAAATATAAAAGAAGCTCAGTGACAGACAAGAGAACACAGATAAACAATACAAAGAGATCAGAAAAATAACTCAGGATATGAATGAGAAATTTACCAGAGAAATAGATATCATAAAAAAAGAGCCAAACAGAAATCCTAGAACTGAAGAATTCAATGAATGAAATAATAAAATTCATTTGAGAGCTTCATAATCAACTAGATCAAGTAGAAGAATTTCAGAACTTGAAGGCAAGTCTTTTAAAATAACCCAATTATACTCTGGGAGGCCGAGGCGGGCAGACTGCTCGAGGTCAGGAGTTCGAAACCAGCCTGAGCAAGACCCCACCTCTACTAAAAATAGAAAGAAATTAATTGGCCAACTAAAAATATATATACAATAAATTAGCCAGGCATGGTGGCACATGCCTGTACTCGGGAGGCTGAGGCAGGAGGATCGCTTGAGCCCAGGAGTTTGAGGTTGCTGTGAGCTAGGCTGACACCATGGCACTCACTCTAGACTGGGCACAAAGTGAAAATATGTCTCAAAAAAATAAATAAATAAATAAAATAACCCAGTTAGACAAAAGAAAAAGAAAAAAGAATAAAAAATCGTGAAGAAACCCTATGTGGTATATAAGACAACATTAAATGACCAATATACAAATTTGGGATGCTCCAGAAGGTGAAGAAACCAAAAGCATAGAAACCCTATTTGACAAAATAATAGATTAATATTTCCCAAGTCTAGCAAAGATTTACATATCCAGGTACAGGTAACTCAGATCCCCAAATAGATACAACCCACAAAGTTCTTTTCCACAGCACATTATAGTCAAACTGTCAAAGGTAAAGCACAAAGGAAGAATTCTAAAAACACCAAGAGAAAAGAATCTAGTCGCGGATTTTTCAGCAAAAACCTTACAAGCTGGGAGAGAATGGGATGATATATTCAAAGTACACAAAGAAAAAAAAAAGAAAACTTATAGGCCAAGAATACTATACCCAGTAAAGTTATTTTTCATAACTGGAAGGAGAAATAAAGTTTTTCCCAGAGAAGCAAAAACCAACAGAATTAATCAACATGAGACAAGCCCTACAAGATCTGCTTAAGGGAGTCCTAGACCTAGAGGCAAAAGGATGATTATCTACCATCAGGAAAACACACAAAAGCATAAAACTCGCTGGTAGAGAAAACATACAAATAAGAGAAGGGATTCACTTTACCACTACAGAAAACCACCAACCACAATAAGAGAGAAATAAAGGAATAATATATAAAAAAAATAAGAAAACAATTTTTTAAATGACAGGAATAAGTCCTCACATATCAACAAAAACCTTAAATGTAAATGGATTAAATTTTCCACTTAAAACTTTTTAAATTAATGAAATAGCCATATATCCATCCAAGACCAAATGACAAGTGAGATATGTGATTCAAATTTGCTATTTGATACTAAAATTTATAGAAATATACAAGTTAACACTATGACATTAGAAAATCAAGAGGCCAGGCACGGTGGCTCAAGGCTGTAACCCTAGCACTCCGGGAGGCCGAGGTGGGCAGATTGTTTGAGCTCAGGAGTTCCAGATCAGCCTAAGTAAGAGTAAGACCCCGTCTCTACAAAAAAAAAAAAATTGAAAGAAATTAGCTGGACAACTAAAAATATATAGAAAAAATTAGCTGGGCATGGTGATGCATGCCTATAGTCCCAGCTACTTGGAAGGCTAAGGCAGGAGGATCACCTGAGCCCAAGAGTTTGAGGTTGCTGTGAGCTAGGCTGACACCACAGCACTCTAGTCCAGGCAACAGAGGGAGACTGTGACAAAAGAAAGAAAGAAAAGAAAACCTACCACAGTGAAATTTAACCAAGACAAAGCTTGACAGGGTTGGTGCTGCTGGCCAAGGATTACTTCATCCTATTACCAGTTTCATATATGTGTCATCACTTTAAGCTATGGATTTAAATAAACAGATTGGAAGCTTCAGATCCATGAATTCACCCACCCACTGGGTATTTGCTGTTAGTCTCCAAATTTGTTCAGCATCATTAACTTGGAGTTCATCACTTCACCACCCACAAAGCATGCCTCTTTCCAGTCTTTCCCCACCTCAGGGAGCAACTCTCATCTACCCAGTGGCCCATGCCTGAAAACTGAGACCCATCTTTGACTCCTCACTTTCCCATCCAATCATCACCAAGCCCAGTTGATTCTTTTTCTAAATGTCTTCTCTCTTCTGAGTCCTACCTCTCCAAGACAGGTCATCACTGTCTCTCAACTGGCTTATGACTTTCTGCTAGCTTATCTTGTGGCTTTTAGCTTCCTTCCTGCCTGTCTTCCAGTCTCACCTCTTAGCCCCCTCTAATACAGTCTCCACATTTTTTTTAATAAAGCACAAATCTTATGTTTCTCTCCTTTAAAGTGTTTTAGTAACTCCCTACTGCCATATCAGATCTACCTCTGACACACCATCAACGCCTTCCTGTCTAGCCTTATCATGCACCATTTCCTCCTACTTGGTGCCCCAGCTATTTGGAACTTCATCCAGTTCCTCAAATTCACTGCACTTTTGTCTCTTGACTCCAGGACTTTGCCCATCCTATTCCTACTGCCCGAAACACTATTCCCTCCACTTTGCTTAGCTAATTTGTACATATCCATTAGGTCTGTTTAGAGTTCAATTCCTCTGGAAAATACTCTGCAGCATATTAGGTTTTCCAAAGATGACCACAGCAATATCTCCCATCCTGCATGCTCTTTGGGAGTTTCCCACTTAAGGGATCCTACTATTCCAAAGCTGTTGTGTTCTGAGGAAGTCCAGGTCACATGGAGAGACCATGTATAGGTGCTCCAGTTGATAGCCTCTGCCCAGGTGCCAGATATGTGAGTGAAGACACCTCCCTTGATTCCGGCACCAGCCATTGAGTTTCCCCTAGCCACCTGAGTCTTCTTGGATGAGGTCCCAGACAGTGTGGAACAGAAGAACTGACCCCACTGTACTCTTCTCAAATTCTTGACCCACAGATTCTAGTAGTATAATAAACCATATTATGCCGCTAAGTTTTGGGAAAATTTGCTGCCTAGCACTAATAACTAATGTGCCTTCCCTGACCACCCAGCCCTGGATTAGGCTCCCATTGTCTGGATCCCTATAGTTTCTCATCCCACCTTTCCACACAGAATCAGCATTGCCAGCTCATTCATCTCTACCCTACACTCGATATTAAGTCTGTAAAGGCAGAGACCATATTTACCTTATGTATCTCTATATCCTCAGCACTCGTGCACAGTGCCTGGCACAAAATAGGTATTAAATAATCATTGCCTAACAAATCTTCAGTAAGAGAGTGCCACAAGAGCACTAGAAGACTTGCCAACATGCACCCAGTGAACTCGATGTGTCATCTTTCTATAGGAAAGCACCTTGGGTTAATGTGAGGGTTAACAAGAGCCTAAGCCCGATTCCACTACAGAAACCAAGTTTCAGTTTGTGAATTTTTTATGAAAAGATGACAAGCTCTGTACTGGAAGAAAGACCCAGATAGCAGAAAGGTTAAAAAGTCAGGGCTATGGCTCTAGATGGCAAATTACACTGTGAGTTTAGACCACAGAGGAATTCAGAAAGAGAGACAGACAATATGTGGCCAACCTTTATCTAAGACCTGAAATTAATTATTAATCATAGAGCCTGACCCAAATCTATTGAGGCTAAAGCTAAATCCTCTTTTCAACAGAGGCTTTTGTAGAGCTCAAAAGATGTAGGGAAAAGGGCCGGGGTGTCACACAGGGAAATGATGAAAGGATCAGGAAGAGTCATTGATGGGATAAGGAAAAATTAAAGGAGTTTAGCTAAGGAGTCCAGGTTGTATTCAGAGAAGCTAGATAGAAATGTAAATAATTCCTTGGTTGAAGTAAAAACATTAAAAAAAAAGCAAGGAATATTATTTACTCTTATTTCCTGATTAGAACTAGGCATAATGGATTAGAAGTGTGTTTTATGATATGTAAAATAATTACTAGCAACATAATAACAACATTTAAA